GCATAGACACCCCGGTGCCTTCTATTTGGCCCGCACTGCCAAGTCTCTGCAGGCCCATTGGCAGCTCATGAAGCAATATTATCTGCTGGAAGACCAGACAGGTAACATCCAGGAGGTGGCAGAACAAGTGGCTGTGTGTGCATGTGTATGGCACTCTGAGCACAGCTGCCCTTAAGTGCCCCGCAACAAATTTCTCAGTGTCCCCTGGTGTCCCCTGGTTTGTAAGAACCACTACTTTCAGAGCAGCTGAAGTGGTCTGTGACATCGTAAAGGTAGCCAGGATTGTCAGCCATCATGGTTCAAATAGTGAACCTGCTGCCTTGTGTTTTATTTTTTGTGTTTTCCTGATATTTTGTCATTACATAAATAATACATTAGTATGTTCTTTGTGGGTAGTATTCAAACAAGAGTAAAGTGTGAGTATCTCTACTCACCCTTTGTGTTGATTATCATCCTAGAGATAATAGGCTTTTTTTTCTTCTTTTCTTTTTTTTTCTGGAGACAGGATCTCACTGTGTAGTTCAGGCTGGCCTCCAATTTACAGTGATCCTCCTGCTTCAGCCTCCTGAGTGCTGGAATCACAGGCATGCACCACCACACCCAGCACTACTTTTTCTAAGCTTTTCTGCTCCTTCCTCCCTCCTTTCTTCCTTCTCCTTTCCTTTGCCCTCTTCTCCTCTGATCAGGCCAGCCATACTCTCAGGTGGCCTGCAGGCCATTTAAAAGTCCCCATTGATGTCACACCTAGTCTGCCTGTCTCTCTGCAAGGACTAAAATCCCTGCTGCCCCTCTTCCCTCACCAACAAACTCTCTCCTAGTGACAAGCGCTAGGAAAGCAATCTGAATGAACAGTAAGAACCCATCAATGAGCTTTATAATTTAGGCTCCACTTCCATAGTTCATGCATACTCGGCACACTTCCTGCCTAAAGGTCACTGCCCACTGCCTTCCCTCTCTTTTTTTGATTTGTTTCTTTGAGACAGGGTCTCCCTGTATAGTTCAGGCTGGTCTTGAACTCTCTATGTAGCCCAGATTGGCCTTGAACTCTCAGTGATTCTCCTCTGAGCCTCCTGAGATCTTGGGTTACAGACATGTGCCACTGTGCCAAGCCCTTTCTAAGTTGTCTTTTTTTTGGTACTGAGGATTAAACTCGGGATCTTGCGCTTGCAAGGCAGGGGGTGGAACCACTGAGCTAAATCCCCAGCCCTCTGAATCGTCTTTTATACTTTCCTGAAAATGCAGCTCTGTCTGTGCCCTTCACGTCACTACTAGGATCCTACCCGTTCTGGGTAGGAAAAGATACTCCTGCAGAATTGTGGAAGTGTGGTCCCTCCTCCAGTGGTCCAGGCGCAGCCCTTTTTATTCCTGCAGCTGAATTCTGCTTCTTCCCTAGACCCAGCTGTCACTGCATTCCTGCAGCAGAAATATACTGGATAAAGTTTGTTTTTACTGCTAAACCTAGCTCCTTTGTCACTATTTTGAATGTTATTTTGTTAACTGAAAGCCTTATCTTAAAGATTTTGTTTTTCTTCAAGAGTCTCTATGTGGGGATTTGATTTCTCCTTTGCTGTTCAGAGCTGGAAATCCCTGGGAACAGTCTGCATAGCTTAGCTGTCAAGTCAGCTGCACGTTAGCCTGAAGGGACTTCAGGCAGCCCTGGTGGTAGGGGCTTGGTGGGATGACAACCCCAGTGCCATCTCCCCACACATTCTCACCCAAGGGGCAGGTGACAAGGAACATTTGTGGCTCCTACACAGCCCCTCCCTTCCTGAGCTGACAGCTGCTCAGCTACTGTCTGCTACAGAGCACCTACTGCAGTCCTGGCTTAAAGCACACATTCAAATTTTGGGCACCTCAGTCCCTTTTATATTTTCATCAGAAAAAATTGAAAAACTTGTGCTGGGGATGTATGCCAGTGGCAGAGCACTTGTGTAGCATGCAGGAATTCCTGGGTTCAACTCCTAGTAACTACACAAATTGAAAAACTTTCATGAAACAATGTTTATCCTGTATGTAGTAGATGACCTCTGATATTATCCTATTCCATTTTGTTCTTTAAAAAAATGAAGGTGGGGCCGGGGATTTAGCTCAGTGGTTTCATTACCTGCTGCGCAAGCGCAAGGACCCGAGTTTGATCCCCGGTACCAAAAAAAAAAAATGAAGGTAATTTCATGACCCATAAGCAGGTCATGACCACAGATTATAAACCACTGGTTTAGCTGGGTGTGATGGTGTACACCTGTAATCCCAACACTGTGGAGGCTGAAGCAAGAGGATTCCAAGTTTGAGCCCAGCCTGGCCAACTTAGTGACTTAGAGGGGTGCTCTCTCAAAAATTAAAAGGGCTCAGGATGTAGCTCAGCGTGAAGGACCTAGGTTCCAATTCCAGGACAGAAAACAAAACATTGGCCTGAGTGAGGCGCTCCCACCAGCACACCTTTCCACTGATGTGTGCCTCTCGGCCTTCACACAGCGTGGCAGGAAAGGCTGGGGGAGCACATGATGTGTTGGAAGGAGCAGTGTGGATTTGGAATCAGTCCAGGGTCAAATAGCTTAATCCTCTCTTTTGTGTTCATTTCCATATCTATAAATGGATCTGAGTAAGAGTAGTGTCTTCCCTTCCTAGTTTAAGACTATACCTCAAAAGCCCTTCACACATCCAGAACCCCAGGCAGAAGTCAGTTTGCATTTCCTGCCCTGTCTAGAACCACCTCGGCCCTCAGCTACCTGGAGTAGAGAGCACTCCTGGCCCTTCCCTCGGGCTCTGTCCTTGAGCCTGTCTCCTTAGCTCAGCTCTGCTCCGAAGCTTGGGCTCCAGGTGGGGCCTCAGCACTCATTCTCCTCTGTCATTTGTTCAGTGCAGCCGCTGCCCAAGGGGGACCAAGTGCTGAATTTTTCCGACGCAGAGGACCTGATTGATGACAGTAAGCTCAAGTGAGTCACTGGGGCTCCTGCTTCTGTGGTAGAGCATCCAGGCTGTCCAGCCTGACTCAGCAGCCTTCAGGCTCAGGTTGCAGCTGCTGTGCTTGCCCTCCCTGCTCCAGGGGCCACTTAGGCTCCTGCCTTGCTGTTCCACCCTAGTCCTGGGGAAGGAGGCTAGCCCACCACTAATAAACAGCCTTCTGGGCCACTTGGCTAAAGGGGTCAGGGATGCCCTAATGAACCATGTGGCAAGTGAGCTGAAGGTGGACCTGCCGTGTCTTCTCTCTCACCCTCAGGGACATGCGGGATGAGGTGCTGGAGCATGGTAAGTGTCCCCTGGTGGGGACTGAGGGGACGGAAGCTCTAGAATCAGTACACAGTGCTGGTGGCCTTGGACTGTCCCTCGTTACCATCCCACCTTACCCCAGAGCTGACAGTGGCTGACCGGCGCCAGAAGCGAGAGATCCGACAGCTGGAGCAGGAACTGCATAAGTGGCAGGTGCTAGTGGACAGCATCACAGGTGAGGAAGCCAGGCGAGCAGAAAGGTCACTACAGCATCCCTCACTCCACCCTGAGCCCTTTCTTGCTGCCTGGCTGGGTGCACCCTCCTTTCTCAAGGCCCAGCTCCTTTTGCTCATAGGCTTTGCTCTGGTTCTCTGCCCTTCCATATCTTCTCTTTCCCCAGGCATGAGCTCTCCGGACTTCGACAACCAGACCCTGGCAGTGCTGCGGGGCCGCATGGTGCGGTACCTGATGCGCTCACGTGAGGTGAGCCAAGCCCTCCCATCCTTACCCTTCCTTGGGGTCCCTCCTCTGTCACTGTCCTCTGTCTAGTCCTTGATTTTTTTTTTTTTTTTTTTGGACGGGGGATCGAACTTGGGACCTTGTGCTTGCGAAGCAGGCAGCAGAACCACTGAGCTAAATCCCCAGCCCCAGTCCTTGATTTTTGATCTTTCTCTCCCCTGTGTGGACCTTCATCCTCCAATCCTTAGGTCCCAGTCCTCACCTGCCCCATTTCCTTAGATCACCCTTGGCAGAGCAACCAAGGATAATCAGATTGATGTGGACCTGTCTCTGGAGGGTCCAGCCTGGAAGATCTCCCGGAAGCAAGGTACTCCACCACCCACCCACCCCTGCCACCCAGGAGGAAACAGTGTGCAGATGTCCCCTAGCCTCTTGCTGCCCTTGCCAGCCCTGGGAGCCCACATGGACCAGCCAAGGCAGGCTGAAGGAACCAGCCTTTCAAGACCTCTAACTTGGGCATCCCAGATGCCTTCAGGGCCCTGTCCCCAGGAAACAAAGATGGTACTTGAAGGCTGCTGGCTGTCTTTTGACCTTCCTCAACTCCATTATCTCTTTTTCCTTCTGCTTCCATAGGTGTCATCAAACTGAAGAACAATGGTGATTTCTTTATTGCCAATGAGGGCCGACGGCCCATCTACATTGATGGACGGCCTGTGCTGTGTGGCTCCAAGTGGCGCCTCAGCAACAATTCTGTGGTGGAGGTGAGCTGGGAAGGAGGTGGAAAGACCAGGCTGAGCCCAGGGCTGTGGTACCTGCTATGTGGGCCTGGCCCAGCCCACCTGTCCTGAGCCACCTTCCTCTTCCACCTAGATTGCCAGCCTGCGATTTGTCTTCCTCATCAACCAAGACCTCATTGCCCTCATCCGGGCAGAGGCTGCCAAGATCATACCACAGTGAGGAGTGGGAGCAGGAACCTGGGCTTTCTCTGGCCTTGGTTTCCACTGTCATTCCAGCCCCCTCGAGCTGGGAACTCAGGCTTCGAGCAAAACCTTTTGCTTAGAGTGGGTAGCAGGAGACCCAACTGCTGGCCCAGATTTGAGACTGAGGGAGGGTGGGGCTGGCCATTGGGAAACCAGGAGAGGCTGGGACCCTTATGTTTCCCTGCAGCCAGAGCCCCACCCCCTCCCTGTCCTCCCCAGTTACCACTGTCACTCCCGTCTCCAGCAGATTAGCTTCAGACTTCATTTTTGGGTTTGTTTTTGGGTTTTTTTGTAAATAAAAAGCACTACTACATTCCAAAGTAGTTTCTTTATTATGTTTTTAATATAAAAAATGTAAGGAAAGGTAGAGACAGGCACATGCAAAGGATGGCAGAACCCCTCCTTGTCCTCAGGCCTCTGACCCCAGCCTCGCTGAGGAGGGGCCCCAGGAGTAGGGACCTGTAGATTCCTAGCCCTGGGGCCTGTCTGAAGCTCCAGGCCACCTGTGAGAGTTGAGCCAACCCTGCCTTTGTTCTCAGGCTCCCTGTCCTGAGCCAGTGGGCAGCATGGAGTCCTGAGGGTGGCCAGAGGAGCAGAGGACAGCGTGTCTGCAGCATGGAGCTCGGGCTGGCAGTCAGACCCCTGTGCCTTCTTCCTGGGTCCACTGGACTGTCCCAGGGCCGTGGCAGCCAATAAGCACCATCTCTAGGCTATGGGGGTCCCAGGGCAAGGCCTGGCCCCCTGACCCTGGTGGGGGCTCTCCAGTGCTGGTAGCCTCAGCCTGGCTCACAGTCTCCAGGGGCCCAGGCCTAGCCCCTTCCTCAGGAGGAGGTGAGGCTGGGGTGCTGGGCTCAGAGCAGAGTTCTCCTGAGCCAGGGGGCTCTGAGTCTGAGGTGGAGGTCCATAAAGCTGTTGCTTGGGGCCAGGGGGAACTCTGAGATGCTGGGGGCCCCCAGGGCCAGGGTGCCATGAGTGGAGGGGGCCCTGGGCGAGGGTGGGGCCAGGTCCCACTTATGGCCGAGCCGGCTGGGGGCTGTAGGCAGTAGGAGGACGCCTCAGTGTCCACACGCAGAGGCTGTAGGAGCCCTGAGGTGCTGGTACGGCAGGGCCCCTCTCCTGATGCTCGAGGGTATAGGCCCTCTCCTTGGGGTGCCAGGACGAGGTGCACAGCCTGGCGCAGAGACTGCAGTCCCTCCCGCATCTGCAGCACCTGCTCAGACAGCTCCATCACCTTGGGGAAGGGAGGAGGCAGGCTCAGTGGCTCCACGTGCAGCTAAGGCAGTGCCTGACCCTTCCCTCCCAGCCCCTGCCGTGCCCCTCACCCACCGCCTGCCGAAGCTTGTCCAGTGTGTCTGTGTTCCTTGCCTCGCTGGGCCCAAGGGGGACGGTGAGTAGGCCACTCTCTGTGGACAGGATAAGGTTATCAGCTGAGGCTGGGAAGAGAAGACATGGGTTCCAGCCTCAGCGCCCAGTGAAGCAGACCACACTGACCTGGCAGAACCTGACTCCCAAGAATAACCTTCTGGCTCAAGAAGCATAGTTTTGCCCAAATGCCAAGGGCAGGAAAATCCCTCCAAGCAGCCTGGGGTCGCGCTGCCAGTGCTCTCCTCCCCCTCAGGAAGTTGTTCTCTGTGCTGTCCCTTGTTCTGTCCTCCAGGGAAACACATTCCTGGGGATTCTTCCCTGGGCTTCTGGACTGGGAGTTTCAACCGTGGTTCCTAGCACTCTATCTTTCCATTGAGCAAGGCATTGAGCTAAGAGCTTTGATTACATTATTTTACTTAACCTGCACAACCCCTTTTATAGAAAGGAAGCTGGAGCCAGAGAAGCCAAGTTCACAGTGCTAGAAAGCTCACAAAGCAGAGATCCAAACCAAGGTCCCAAGCTGGCCTTCACTACCAAACCCCCAACCAGCAATGTAGGGATGGTGAGGGTAAGAGGGCTTCTGGCCCCTGCCAGTTTCTCCAACACCAGGCTCAAAGATTTGGGACCGGGGATTCAGCTCAGTGGTTTCGCCGCCTACTGTGCAAGCACAAGGACCCGAGTTCAATCCCCGGTACCAAAAAAACACAAAAACAAAACAAAACAAACAAAGATCAACAGTGCCTGAGGTCTGTGGGACAAAGGGATGACCCCCAGCAACATACTCTATCCCTGAGCTCAGTACCTGGTCCAGGGGAAGGACTGCTGCTACATTCTGGGCCAGACTGGCCTACCCGGAAAGAGAACTTGGGCTGGTCAGAGCCACAGCCATCCTCAATGCCATCTACGACCCTGTGGACCCAACAAATCAACAAACAGGACAACAAATCAGTTGATATGCAGGCACTGCGGCGTTACAGGGGTCAGGACACTCATGTCCATACACAGAGACTGCAGCAGCCCCAAGTTGGCCAGGGGACCGGGGTCCTGAGAAAGCTAACACATGGTCCCTTCCCCTAGGAGCTTGCATATTAGCTGGAAGGCAAGCTCAAGCAATGTAGAATGGCAATAGCAGGGTATGATGCACACTAACAGGGAGTGAGGCAGCAGGAAGATGAAGAGTCAGGGAAGGCTTTCAGGAGGGGGCAGACTTCGGCCATGTGGGCTGGGAGGAGTTCAGGTGGAAGGATCAGTGCAAAGAGTGAGGTGTGTCCAGCTGGGGACCCTGCCTTGTCACCACCGCCCTGCCATGGGGGTCTGGGGCCTGCTTACCTGGGGCTCAGATCCAGGGGCGCATTCCATGACATGGGGGGCAGCCGCAGCTCCTCTAGTGTCCGTGGGTGAGCAGAAGAGCCAGCCTCAGGCTTCAAAGCCCCTGCCCTGGTTGGACGCCCTCGGCTACCTAGACGTGACCGGGGCGCAGTTCGACGTGGGGATAGTAGCTTGGCAGCTGAAGATGAAGAGGTGCAGCCAGGGGACAGGAGGGGGCTGGAGGGCTCATCTGCTGGGGCTGGTGAGGCTGTGGTGCCCTGCTCCCCATCCGTCTCCTTTTCCTCCAGTGTGGACATGAGAGTGTTGTCACCACTCAGGGAGCTGGTGTCTACCTGGGGTCAGCAGGGGGCATGGAATCAGCAGGTGTGGCCAGTCCTAGCCCACTCATCTCCCCCACCAAGGCATCATCCGTAGGACAGAGGAGCCATCTTTGTTAAACAGAATACCCAGTGCTGCCACTGTGCCCAGGAAGAGGCCCAGGAGTGACTTGCTTTGCTACTGTCACCATGAAGCTGCCAAGCCCAGGAGGCATTAGCTGGCCCTCAAAATTGTAGCCAAATGTGAACACATCACCCCCTACTTGGTCTTTCAGGTTCACAAAACAGAAAATGCAGTACTTAAAACTGGCTTGGAAGTAGTGACATCATCCAGGAAAACTCAGAAGCTCCTCAGACAGGCTTGTTTTTCCATGGTGGCGGGGGAGTGCCAAGCTGCAGGGCTCTCTTGAGAAGCAGCCCGGAAGGCTGGTTCCTGTCCCTGCCCTGCCTTGCCCCACCCACCCTCTCCCTGCAGCCTATGAGGATCAGCTGACACCAGCACAGTCAGCATCCTTCACCTAAGACTTTGCTCTGGATGGGCCCAGGGTGTCTCAGACAGGCTGAGGGGGGTGGCTAAGGTCAGGCTGGGTTCTCAGCGTGTGGATGTGCAAAGCCAGAGAGAGCATGGGTCCCTGCCCCTGTGTGTATGAGCGCCTCTCACATCCGGCCGTGCCTCCCTAGCACTCCACCAACCCAAGCCTCCGCCCACTCACCAGGCACCCTCAGCCCCTCCACACGTGTACCCAGCACCCTCACCTCCGCAGGGCAACCCCCAGCACCCAGATTGTAACTGAGCTCCCCTCGCAGGCCACGGCTGAAGCGAGGGGCAAATTCGGGGTACAGTGCAAGGCTCTCATGCAGGCCGGCCAGCTGCAGACACTGTAGGACGCAGTAAGTCAGCCCTTTCACATCGGCATTGGCCTTTACCACCTGCTCCCGTCGGGGAAGCTCGCAGCCAATCAGATCACCCTTCCCTGGGGAGAGGAAGCAGAAGTCAGGTCAGCAAGCCCTGACCCTTAACCACTAAGACAGAGGAGGAGGGCCAGACAGAGGCCCCTGAGCTTGCCCTGTGGAGTCAGGCCTTTCCAAATGAGGCCCCACTATGAAGTCTTCCAGCCAAGACAGACAAAGGAGCCTGGGCCACACCTTGACCGTTGCCTGGCTCACTGCTCTCCCACACAGACTTGAGGCAAAGAGCCTGGGCCCCAGGCCCTCACCTGCAGGATCAAAACCCTTGGGTGAAACCTCAGCCTCTTAGCTCTGACAGATTGAACAGTCATGAGTTCTAGCGGTTCTCAGACAGACTGTTGATTAGAATTCCCTAGAAAGTTTCAAACAATCAGACCTCCAGTCCCCATCCCTACCTTTAATATCATGACATCTACAAGGGACCCCACAATCATGATTTTGAAGCTCCATGAGTGATCCAGGTGCAGCTTGTCTAGGGACTAGTATTTGGAAGCAAATTTAGTGCCCTGTGTGGCAGAGTGAAAACGTCAGGCAGCCAAGTTCCTTCTTCTTCCCAAGCCTGGCTGCCTTTTCTACCCAAGTGCTGCTGCATCTGCCTGAGTGGATGGGGTTTGCTTCATTGCACTTGCACATGCTAGGCAAGTACACTACCACTAAGCTAAAAAGCCAGCCTTTGATTCCTCCCAAGTAGTGGGGATTGCAGGTATGAGCCATCAAACCCTGCAAGGTTTTGCGGATTTCACCAGAAGGTGTCCATGGAGGGCCTCCCACCGCCAGGTTGAGCCTAACACCTGGCTGACAGCAACTGTAAAATGCCACCCATTATGGTCTGAAGCCCCATCTCAGAGATGTAGAATGATTAGGGGGGGAATGTGTGCCTTAGAATCAATGAAACAGTCCAGGCGTGGTGTCATACACTTGTAATCTCGCACTTTGGAGGCGGAGCTAGGAGGATCACTGAGTTTGAGGCTAGCCTGGGCTACGTAGTAAGACCCTGTTTGAAAAAAAAAAGAAAAGAACAAAATAATTACTGAGACAGGGTATCTGTGTCCAAGGATATGGTGAGGATCAAAAGTTAATGTAGGGGCCGGGGATTTAGCTCAGTGGTTTCACCACCTGCTGTGCAAGTGCAAGGACCCGAGTTCGATCCCGGTACCAAAAACAAAAAAAAAAGTTAATGTATGTCAAGGGCATGACCCAGAGATGACCGGCAGAAGCTCATTGCCTCCCCTCCCCTTCAGCTAGAGTCCCCTTTAGGTCATTCCCAGTAAGGATAGGAGTGAGATCTGGGCTCAGGAGGAACACGCTAAGGGCAGCTCAGCCCTCTCTGCCAGACCATCAGACCATCTGCATGACTCGTGTCCATATCCTGAAGGACAGAGACCACAGCTGCCGGCACCACACTCCAAGCGTGGAGGCAGAGTTCACTCAAACTTCAGTGCAGAATATGCCTTGTTAAACTTTATCTTCTTGGTTTCAGGCCATCTTTCTGGTTCAAGAGCTACTGGATCTCAACACGATTCTCTGAAGATGAACTCTCTCTCACTTGTGTCATCTGGAATAGGACAAGTGTGTTTCTTATCCTCAGCCAACAGATGACATAAATATGAGAACCAGGAAAAGACTGAAGATAAGTTTCAGGGACCAGAGACCAGTGCTGGCAAACCTATGGCACATGTGCCACAGCTGGCTGCTTGTTATCACTGAATGTTTTAAAAGGTTCACCGTCACTTCTGGCAACTGTCCCCAGGTTGGCCCTTGAACAGAGCCTTCAGGCTCAGCTCACTCGTTCCCTTCTTCCCTCCCAGGACTCCTCAACGCTCGGGTGAAGTCAATGCACAAAGGTGGGGGTCGGAATCAACACTGGTGAGCGTGAAGCCAGCTTCAGCCACTGGGAGCAGGCAGGACCCAGCTGGATGCTCAGCTAAGGAGGCAGGTGGGGAGAGGAGGGTGAGGGCAAAGTAGAAAAGCAGGTCAAGGCTGCAGTCCAGAACTGGGCATTTATTGGGCACCCGGAGCCTCCAAGTCAGTGGGGAAATAGTTCATGTAGAACATGTGGCCCCAGAGAGCTGGAGCAATGGCATCCTAGAACTGGGGACATTCTGGAGGCAAAGGCCTGGACCACATGCAAGGGGCATTCTTACAGCTCCATGGGAACTCTGAACACCAAATGTGGCTCTCCTGAGACTTTTGGCCTGACCCGGTGAAGGGCTGTGCTGAGAGGTCCCAGCTTCTTTGGCTCTAAACTGAGTACCACCTGTTTATAACCACTCAACAATCCTGCTTTTCTACCATAAATACTCAAGAACTGCCAGCCTACATGAGTCCCATAACTCTTCCTTTGTCTTTATTCCTTTCTTTCCTTTTTTTTTTTTGCATGGTACCAGGGACTGAACCTAGGGCCTCACGCTTACCAGGCAAGCGCTCTACCACTGAGCTATAGCCCCAATGGTTTTTTGTTTTGTTTTGTTTTGTTTTTTGAGATGGAGTCTATGTTTGCTCAACTGGTCTTGAACTCATGGACTCAAGTAATTCTCCTGCCTCAGCCTCCCAAATGGCTAGGAGTACAGGTACATGACACTGTGCCTGGCCATAACTCTACTTCTGGATATAGGCCCAGAAGCTGAACTCATGAAAGTTGATAAGAAAGGTGTTGCCATCCTATCACCTCTCAAGTTCTAAGATCCCCAGTGGCATCTCCTCCCTATTCTTGTTGGAGGACCCTCCAACAGGAGGGAGCAAGGACAGCCACCCAGTCACTACCAAGCTATCTGGTACTATGACTTCACCTCCCTGGTTCTTTTCTGTGTTTCCAGCCTTCACTAAGGAATTCCAGCTAATTCGGAACCTCAGCCCCTCTGGGCTTCAGCTGAGCCCACAGCTGTAAGAGTCTCTTGACTTCCCGAGCAGGTCTCAAGGTCCTCCACCTTCTGGGGTCAGCCCTAGGAGCCTCCCACAGCCAGGGCAGTGCTCCCCTGTAGTGCTTTCCATGGACAGTCTCATGTTTCCCGTGCTTTCCTGCAGCTATGGGCAAGTCCAGCCCTCCCGAGAGCTTCTTTCTGCAGTCAGGACTCCCCCCGAGTGCCTGGGGACACCATCTAAGCATGAGATTTAGTCAGGCAATATAGGTTCCAACCCTGTCAGCCAATCCTTAGCTGTTCAATCTCCCTGACCTCAATAGTGGTTCTTGCCCTACTGGGTTCTGTGAGGTTTGAGGAAGACTTAGCATGTAAGGGACCTCAGGCTGCCAAGAGCCCTGTGCTCAGCACCATGACTGTGTCCTTTCCCCAAGGGCAATCTCTTTGTCTTGCTCTAGGGAGCTGATCCCTCACCTTCACCGCTCTCTTTTTCCAAGAACAGAAATATATACCCTGTGGGTACTGTTTTACCAGAACAAGTCTCCCCAGCCACTTGGAGGCTGAGTTCTGCCACCACCCATCCTGGGCTCTGGGCCTGCTCTGTGACAGCGGAAAGTCACATCTCACTGGCCCATGGAGCTCACAAAGAAGAGCTTTCATGCCCCCTCCTTCAGCCCTGCCTAGACATCTTTCCCGAACTTCCATTCTCAGCATCCAATTGCCCTCCTGACATGAAGTCCTGCTCCTTGGTGGGTGTGGTGGTGCACACCTGTGATCCCAGCACTCGGAAGGCTGAGGCAGGAGGATCACCATGAGTTCGAGGCCAGCCTGAACTATAAGGCAAGACCCTGCCCCCCCCACACACACATACTCCAAAAACGAAGTGCTGCTCTTCTGTCCTTTCTTGGGTCCCCTCCTTTTAAAGCCTGGCCCCTCCCTCACTTGGTCCCAGGAACACATGTGAGATAGTGGTTCCCCCCAACCTTGCTACCTTGGCATCACTGGGCCTTCTGGGAGCCCTGCCCAGGACTGTGGCTTCTCCCGACTCCATCCTGGCTGATCTTCCCCTGTGGCCTTGTATGTACCCACTTCCTGGGTTTTCTACAGATCAAGTTCCCGACCCCCTCCAACCCCATGCCCTTTCCCATCCATACAAACCCAGGATGGCGAGCACAGTGCCACCCTTGAGTACTTCCATGGAGCCAGAGCAGACAAAGTAGAGGGCCTGGAGAGCATCGCCTTGGTGGATGAGGTACTCGCCGGGCGTGCAGAAGGCCGGCCGCAGAGCTAGGGACAGCGCTCGCAGGCAGCCACGGCTTGCTGCCTCAAACAGTGGGAGCTGCAGGACCTCCTTGTGCAGGTGCATGGCTATGTCTGCACGAAGCTCATCTGGGAGGCTCTGAAGCAGCTGTAGGTGAACAGGTAGAGAACGCTGAAAGGGCAGCAGAGGAGGGCCCCTCCTGCCAGCTCCTCTCTACCATGGAGGCCTCGGGAGCAAAGGGAGGTATGGAAGGAGGCTCGAAGCCTCCTGCATGGCATCAAGCTCCACACAGGGTGCAGTCTGCAAGGTGGGGTGTTTCTGCTGCCCTCTAATCCTTAGCCCCCGCCAAAAGCCCCTTTCCTTCTGGCCTCAGGGCTGAAAGGGTCCTCCAAGCCTTCTTGGCTGCCCTCTATCCCGTGCTGCTGTCCTCACAAGGGATAATAAAAGCAGGGGGGACAAGATTTTACATTACTCTCCACCCATCCCACTCATGATCCTTTGAGCCGAGCGCAAACCCCTGGAGGGAGCAAAGGCCGGAAGGCCCAGCCCTGGAGCCCCACCACACCTCAGTGGTGTCGATGCCGTTGTTCACTGCCCAGGTGGCCTGGAAGTACTCGAGCATGCGCTGCTTCAGGGGCTTGGGGATGCGATGGATGCGGATGTAGTCACGAAGGTCTCGAGTACGGCTGTGATACAGGAAGCGGCGGGCGTACATGCGCTGGATGATGGCTGTCACATTCCCAAACACCACCGCATGCATCAGGGCTAAAGAGGGTGGCAAGAGGGGGTCACCAAGGGACTGGGGATTTAGCTCAGTGGTGCCGCGCCTGCCTCATAAGCACAAGGTCCTGAGTTTGATCCCCAGTACCAAAAAAAAAAAAAGAGGGTCACCTATAGACCTGGCTGGGCCTGACACCATGCTGGACACATCTGGCCTCTGGCCCCTCCCCACCCCGCACACACCTAGGCAGGGGACATGGGCCTCTCCAGGCCCTGGCCCCCTGTTCTGTGGACCACCTAAAGCAGAACTCTGGCCTGTGGGGCTCTGGGGGATGTGGGGAAGGAGGGCCGCCTGAGGCTGGAAGTCTAAGAGAGGACCCCCGGGAAGCCCTTGGGCCAGGCCTCACCACCAATGAGCATGGTGCAGATGGAAAAGATCTTCTCAGTGTCCGTGTTGGCAGACACATTGCCAAAGCCCACACTGGTGAGGCTGCTGAGTGCAAAGTAGAGGGAGGTGATGTAGGCACTGCGCAGTGACGGGCCACCCAGGAGCTCTAGCCCTGTTTTGTTGGCCTCGCCGCTGCTGCTGCAGTTGTCACTCTGGCCAGAGCTGTTCCCTTCAGCTGGGCTCCGGCTCACCAGGTAGTAGGGCGTCTCCAGTCGGCGGGCCAGCTCCTGCAGCCACCCTGAGGAGGGCGAGAGGGGTAGGCCTAAGCAGGCAAGGCCATAAGGTGGCTCTGGGGTGCAGGGTAGCGGACACGCACAGACCCACCCTCAAGGCTTCCCACCACTGTCCCCTCTTCTGCCAGCCCAGTACACCCCTCAGCCCTCAGTAAGACAAGCGCAGGAAGGAGGATGACGTTGCCATCTCGCAAGCTGGTTCCTATTGGTGCTGAGGGTGGAATAAAGAGAAGCACACTCTCTTCCCTTGTGGTGGCTGCTAATCTCAGAGAATGGGCCCAGCTAGAGAGCCGATATGGCAGGAGCTCACCGCATTCAGGCACAGCCTGGCCCCTAAGGCTGGGTGGCTGACGTCACTTCCTCTACCCTGTTCACCTAGACTGTTCTTTCTGTTTTTGTCTGAGCCTAGTCTCCTCCAGAAAGCTTCCCTCCCTACAACCACAGAGACCACCCAATCGCATGTCTGCACTCTCAGGTGCTCCCACATAGACTGTGCACAGGTCCCCTACACAGTCAAGACAAGGACACACATGCAAGCACCTTACAGACACACCCACTGCCACTTATACTGAAAAGAACTTCGTCTACTTGGGAGAAGGACAAAGGCACACAGGTGTTTGCAAACTGACACATGGGCAGGGATGGGGGGGACCCCCCCCACACACACACAGGTGAATACACTCAGGCTAAAAGAGGGCAAGCACCTGTGCACGCATACACATACTTGCATACACACACAGGAAGGAGCCATACTTCTTGGCCGGGCTTTGGCAGGAGGGTTGTGGAAGCTCTAGGGTGCTTGATTGGGCCCGTACAGAGAAGGAAGAGGGGACCAACTGACTAATGGAGAATAGAGAGGCAGAGGGCAAGTGCCCGGCTCCTCGCTGCAGGCAGAACGATCTCTCTACATGTGCTGTGCCAAATCCACAGACCCTGTGCTACTCTTGCCCCAACACTGCACATAATCTTTGTGGTCCACACCCCTTCCTCCTATCCATACACCCCTTTCCTCAGCAACCTTGCTCATTGAGCACTAGGCTGGTCCTGTGGGCTCCAGTTCAGTTGGGCAGATAATTGCCTGGGGCAGGAGCTACATCCCAGAGGCACCACAGGAGGGGGCTCAAACCTAAGTGCTACGGGCCAGGCCTCAAGGGCTGCCAGAAAAGGGTGATGGTGGGGGCCATGTGTGCTTGGCCTCAAAGGAGAGGGAGGGTTTCATACAAAGAAACTAAGTGGGGGTCATTTCTGATGGAGAAAAAGGCATGAGTCAAACCTGGAGCTAGAGACTTTAGAAAAGTATAGGCAGCACCAAAGGCATCAAGTTCCAGCCTCAGAAATTTGCGCCAAGGTATGCACTCACCCTCCTGTTGTTCAAGATGTGCTATAAGGGTACAACAGATACACACAACTCCTCCCAGTCACTGTTTGGTTGGGGCTCTGAAGTGAAGCCAGGGATCACGGTAAGCAGTAGGGTGGGGTGGTGGGAAGCAGTGAGACAGAGATGGGGCAGGAGGCCTCTCCCTCTCAGTCTTGACCATGGGCACCAGCAGCCCTGGATCTGGTGGCAGGATGGTGCTTCCACATGAGGCAGGTCAAGCTGTTCTGGAGGCTGGTGGCTTTCACACTAAGAAATGCCCTGGGTTACCTCCCTCAGGCTTTGGCATATCTACTGGGCTAATGGGAATCTAGAAAAGGAGCTCTGCTCACGCCATAGGCAGCAAAAGAGGGGATCCCAGCAAAGAAGCCACAGTGGTGCCTTCTAGCAGAGAGAGCCAGCAGCACCCACCTGCTCAGCCAGCCTTACCTCCCCACAAGGACCTCTCTTCCTAGGGCTGAACTTTGGGAGGCCCACGTTTGGCATCAACCTAGCTGGAAGGCAGTTTCCCTGGGGAGGGAAGGGGGAGGTAACAATGTAAAGCACTTGGAAATGCTCCAAATGTGGGCCAGTTCCAGCTCCAAATACAATGAAACCACCCTGGAACTCAGGGGTCAAGGGTAAAAGAATTACCCGGAGACAGCTGGCCCCTGCACTCCCATGTTCACCACGGTGGGACCCAGAGCTTCTCTGAGAGCCAGAAATATTCGCTTTTATGTGTGTCTATGGTACTGGGGATTGAAACCAGGGCCTCTGGACTGAGCTACCTCCTTAGCCCTTTTTTATTTTGAGACAGGGTCTCACTAAGTCACTAAATTGAGCAAGCTGTGCTTGAACTTGTGATTCTCCCGCCTCAGTCTCCTGAGGTGCTGACATTATTGGCATGTACCATCACACTCAGCTCAGAAATATTCTTGATAGATCAGCAATTCCCACGAGGTGGCTGGAACAGAGGAGCCTCATGGATGCAAGACCTCGGGTGTCTAGGGCCTGTTGCAGAGGCTGGGGTCTGACCTGGGGATTTGCTGTCTGGGCCACTTCTAAGGCCAGAGACAGGGTCAGAGCATTTGCTGACCCGAGAGCAGCCTTCACCACAGTCTCCCTCTGGGATGGGCAGGCGCCAAGCATCTGACACTGTTGGGGTGCCCTGGTTTCCACGGACTCAGCAACTAGAGTGCTCTGGGAGTAACCAAGTGGGCCCTCTGGGCACACAGCAGCCGCTCACGCGCTTGGTGAGTGAGAGAGGGTTCTCAGGAGCCTTGGCATCCCTGGGGAGCTGATCAGAGCAGGGTTCTAAGACTGACCTGGACTCGGAACAGGTGACCCATCCAAGGAACAGACTGACATGGGAGGCCACCTGAGCAGCTGGAAACATGCTAAAGGTCAGCTACTGCAAAGCCAACTTTGGGCTGGAGGGTGGGAGAGGAAGAAGTATGCTCAGTTTCCGACCTGAGGAGCACTGAGAGCTAGGAATGATAGAAATGAATACATTTGGTAAAGGGCAAGGATGGAAGTGGTGATGTGGCCAAGGAAAAAGGAAACAAGGCAGGAGGAGTGATGTGAGGAAAGCCTGTCTGGAAGCCCTGGAACCCAGAAGGGCTTGGGTGGGCAGCCAAGGGCTGCACCTCACACAGCAGGAGGAGTGTGGCTGGCAGGGTCAGGTGCTATAAAGACTTCATGAAGGAGAGGGTTTGGCCCCATAAGGTCACTGTGACCTTCAAGGCCAACATTTTGGGTAGAGAGGTGGGGGTGGAAACCGCCGGCAAGAGTAAGACTGAGTGGGTGATGAGCCGAGCGAGGGAGGAGCTGTGGCAGTGGAGGTGAAATGAAGGAGAGCAGCGATGCAGGGAAGGCAGATAAGGCTGTGTTTAGGGTCAGGGAGAGCTGGACTCAGCTGGGAGTGGCGGCTGCAGGTGCTAAGAGTCCCAGGGGGTGGGAACAAGCTTCAGAGAGGGTGGCATGAGAGGAAGCCGTGAGGACAGTGGCTCCCTGCCTGTCCTTCCTAGGGGGGCAAGGGCTTAAAGAATGTGACAAACATCTGGCCACCAGGAAGACACGACGGGGGCCTGAGGCTCCCCAGGCACCACAGCCTGTCCAGACAGCAGGCCTGCCACGTGATGGTGGCCATCACACACGCCTGCACACCCCTCTACTGACGTGCACGTACAAACCTGCACGCTCCACTCGACTTGGCATCATCAGTCCTCTGCCCACCCCCCAGCCCCCCACCGTCTCCAGTACCAATCTCAGGCAACTCCGATTCGCTGCTCTCGATCTCCCGCTGGCCAATGTAGAACCAGATGCAGGCCACCCAGTGGGCAAGCAGGGCAAACACAGCCATGAGCAGGGTCAGCACCACAGCGCTGTACTGTGAGTACCGGTCCAGCCGCGGCAGCAGGCGTAGCAGACGCAGGAGCCGCACAGTTTTCAGCAGGTGGGCCCCGAAGTACTGAGATGGAGAGGGAGGTCATCTCAGGCAGGCTCTGCCCATACCAGCCCAAAGCCCGTCCACCCAGTCTAGCCACACTGACCACGTTGACCTTGAAGGCATGTAGCAGGTCAAAGGGCAGCGCTGCAATGACATCCAGCAGGAACCAGGTGGTGACATAGTGGAGGCAAATGGACTTTGGGGCAAACACCACCTGGCCCGATTTGGACACGAATGTGGTGCGGAAATTCAGGACAATATCTGTGGAGAATTCGGGTGGGAGTTAGTGTGAGATGGGAAGCCACTCTTTACTACTGGGCACCAGCTCATTAGTGTCCCAGGCCTTCCATACATCGCCTGACCTACTTGTCATGGTAATTTTAGCAGGTGCACACTGTCATGCTTTTTTTTTTGGTACCAGGGACCGAACTCTGGACCTTGTGGTTGTGAAGCAGGAGGCGGTGGAACCACTGAGCTAAATCCCCAGCCCAGTCATGCTTCTTTCATGGAAGGAGAAACTGAAGCTTGGAGCGGCTGTGACTTGTGCAGGGTTCAATAACACATTAGAGCAGAGACACATTTGGAATCTAGGTCTGATTTCAAAGCTTATGGGTCACAAATGGGACAAACAGGGAGAGGAAGGGGGGCCCTGGCAGCCATGCAGACAATCCCCACTGAGACCTGAGGGTGCCTGGCCTGGGTGGGGCAGAGGACACAGATGCACATACCGAGGATGAAGAGGACCTCCACGGCCAGGTCACAGACGCTGGGGGGGCCACGGGCAGCGCTGGGCTCCCGGGCTGTGCTCACACACACACTGTAGGGCACAGTGACAGCCACGTAGAGTGTGGCGAGCAGGATGAAGCCATCCCAGGTGGCTCTCAGTGCCCCACAGTGCAGCAGGATGAAGGGTGACTTCCGGATAGCAGCAACTTTATACTCAGGCAAATTTGGCTTCTCTCCAAACACCCCCTGAGTCAGGCAGGGCAGGTCCAGCCAGGGAGGAATCGATAATGGCAAAGGTTGAGTTTGGATAATGTCTAGCACAGACGTTCATCTCCTTTTTCTCACTATATTCTCAATATCTGATATAGGCATTAGAGGTCCCCACTTTATAGACAGTAAAACTGAGGAGCAGGGAGATCTAGTGACCTAGCTGAGGTCACACGGCTGCTTAGGGCAGGAGTTAGGGTTAAGCTAAGGGAAGGCTTCTATCCCTTTGATGGATCAAACACGAGAGATTTCTCAGTCTCAACCCCGCATAGTGCTGGTGAGGCTTGGTGGTGGCTCCCTGGACACTCTGTCTGTGGTGGGCTCAGTTCCCTTCTCCTCCACCTGCTCCTACCTTGTGCCCAACCCAAACACACACCGTAGTGCTCAATCCACCTTATTGAGTTTGTGCTTGCCCTTGGGCTGCTTCTGCAAGTGCCCGGACAGGTGGTAGAGCACAGCCCGGCTCCGCCGCCGGTTGGCATTAAAGCCTTTGGATCCTGCCCGGCCATATCGGCGCCGGCCACCACCTGCAAAAGAGAAGGGACTCATGAAGATGGTGAGGGGTGTATAGCCACACCCCAACACAGGGTCCTGAAGGAAGGCGTCAGTTGCTGGGCCATGAATTGGTCAGCTCATTGATCATTTTATCTGTTCAGAGTTGGGGCTCAATATTCCTCACTTTCTGGGGTCACTTGTCAACTCCAGGAGGGAACAGTCCTAGAGGTGCGTATGGCCAATACTCCCAGAGCCTACTTCCAGGAGGAGGTTTGGTCTAAGGGAAGGGAGAAGAGGATGTTACAGAGAAAAGCCGAGGAGATGGAGTTTGGACGAGGGGCACGGGGAAGGGAGACAGAGCCAGTGAAGGCTATCAGCAGAGGTATGGGAGCTCAGAGAGACCCAGGATCCAGGTGCAGGGATCAGGGGGTGATGCTGAAGACTGACAAAACAGAGAAGCAGACCCAGGCCTGGGGTGGGAGCAAGAATGGAGGTACAGTACCCCCAGCATTCCCAGATGGCAAAGGGGGCTTGGAACAGCAGCTGATGTCAACTCAGACTTGCCCAAAGGCCTGCCCCAGCCCTTGGAGGAAATGAGAGGAAAGACCCAAGAACTTAAAAGAGAGCTTTGGCTGGGGCTTCCCGGTCAAGTGTGTTGCAGGGAGAAGAAACCAGGTGGGTCTGTGCTCTACCCTACTAGGTAGTGGGAAGCGGGGTGCTTCACTGGCTCTGGTGGAATGTTTGCTTTCAGTTTCTTAGTAAAGTTGATTTGAAAAGTTCAACTTTGTCTCAAATGGCCTATCTGGAAAAGAGTCCTGTCCCTGGGCATATAGAGATGAGAGCAGCACAGTCTCTCAGCCAGCCAGAAAGGGACTCAATGATGAGCACAACAGAGGAGGGGACCCACAAGCCCAATCTGGGTACCAAAATCCTACCCAGGCCTGAGGTACCCAATACCCAGCCACAGCCACCAAATCAATGCCCATGGGCACACCCACCTCTCTCCTTCCAGTTGTCGGGACCCCCTCGAGTCTTGGTGTCACTGATGTCCTTGTGAGAGACCAGGAAGAGGGCCACCTCCCCTTTCTCATTCTTTATGGGTATCACATCCAGGAGACACCAGAACGGGAGCCCTGAGCACAAAGACAGACTCAGCCCACCTCCCATGCTCAGCCCTGCCTAAGGTGAAAGAGGCCCTGGCTCCACTGATATTCTGGAAAAGACACAAGCAGGAACAGGGCTTCTTGGGGGGAGGGAGCAGCAGTCTGGGTCCCCGTAGGACAGGGTTCGATGGAGGGGGAGCAAGTGTGAGCAAACATGACTGTCAAGACAGGTGTCCTGCTGAGACAGGGATACTTTTCGGCTGGATGTGGGAACCCTAAGGCCGGAAATGCACAGAGGCTGAAGCTAGTGTGAGAAGAGGTGGTGAGGAGCCCAGGACAAGGGGGGGGGTACAGCTTGGCAAGTGCAAGGTCCTGAGTTCGATCCCTAGTACCAAAAAAAGAGGTGGGGTGCACAAAGGGATGGAAGGGTGGAGGGGTACATGGAAAGACTGCAAGGGAAAGGAGGAGGGGCAGCGGATGGGGTAGGTTGCCTGCTGGGTGAGACTGTGAAGGTGAGGCAAGCTGGCAAGGTGGCTCCTCACCGCTCTTCCGGTACAGAATCAGTTCAGCCTTGAACTCCTTGTGCTCGTCCAGGGCCTTGCGGATCTGTTGTCGGACGAGCTCACTGGTGTCTGGCCCATAGAGGAAGGAGCAGGCACAGCCCCGCTGCATGACCTCAGCCCGGGAGAAGCCCGTGAGGTCACAGAAGCCATCAGAGCAGTAGACCACAGGGAAGAGCCCTGCCACCTGGGCGTTGCCCAGCACAAAGTTACTATCTGCAAGAGAGCACCTTTCAGAGGAGGAATGGGGTGAAGGGATGGGTATCTAACACCCCTGCTTGCCCAATGCCTTGCAACTGAAGGATGGGTTTTACAAACTCCAGGAATCCTGTGTATGTTCCAGGTGGGAGCTATTTATGAATGGGACTCAGTGTGCTGCCTGCGTCAGTGCCCTGAAAGGGGCTGCTGCTAGCCACACGTGTGTGCGTGCATTCTAGAATCAGGACATGTGAACAAACACAGGTCAGTGCAGCCCTGTGTAGGCACGGTGCCCTCGGGTCTGTTCTGAGCAGTTTGGGGTAAGGGGTAAGCTTGAGGGTGTCCAAGGGACTGCATCACTTGCTCTAGACTGGCCACAGCCCCACTGCTACTTCTGCCAGGTTCACCCACCAGCCAGGTAACCAGGCTCCTCCCACCGGAACCCTCCTGGATTAGGAGGCAACCCAGGTCACTGCCAATCTTGCCCTCTGAGTACCTGCCTGACCTGGCTCAGGACTTAGTAAATGGGATCAAGAGTGGGGGTGCAAGAATGGTGGCTGAAAACCAGAGCCTGAAGTCAGGCATGTATTGGGAGGGGGCGCTGAACCAGCAGGCTGCCCTAGCCAAGTACCCTGGCAAAGCAGATGGAGGAGCCTGGAGTGGGGAGAGCTCAGTGATGGGCTCTCACACCTTCTCAAGAACCGGAGACCAGGGAGCATGCTAAGCAGAGAGCTGGGAAGCCCAGCTGGGGGTGAGTGTGCAGGGAGAAGGAGGAAGAAGAGGAGGGAGAGGGATCTGGCTATCCTATTTCCTTGTGATCAGAGCCCTAGGAACCTGGGATCCAGAAACTCAGGCGCCTCCAAACTTCCCCAGTCCTGGTGAGAGTCTCCAAATTCATCTTCTTTCGCTCTGGAGGGCTCACCAAGGTGGGTGGGTTTAGGCTGTGAGATGGGCTTGGATACTGGTACTGGTACTCTCTTGAGTCCCACCTACTGTCTCCGTTTCCAAACGTTTCTAAATCTGTATTTTGAGCCCTCCCAGGCTGACTGGGAGTCGTGCTCCCCAGTCTCAATGAAACCAGCCAGTCCGAGGGTAGTCCTTGCAACAGAGCCAGATGCCAGGATACGGTGGGTCAGACTGACTAGGTCTGGGTTTGCGCCCCCAGGAACAGGGAGCATCCCGGGCCCCACACCCAGGGACATCTCCTTCAAGCCATGTTGCTTTGCGGGTTGCAGGGCTGACCATGAACCCTTTGGGGAAACGGCGCCTGGAAAGAAACGATGGTCCCAACTTCTGAGGGGCGAAAGGTGAGAACCAATGGGTGCCAAGTGTGGGATCAGGACCGGCAGGAGCCCTGGCAGGGGACCTCTCCTCCGGGAGTTGGGGGGGGGAGGGCCTGACTCACGCGTGCCGTCGAAGCGCGTGGCGATGGTGTCCAGGAAGGTGTTCTGCGGCGCCAGGAGCCCCCGCATGGCCGGCATCTTAGGCGGCCGGGGCCGCCCGCCCCATCCCTCCGGGGCGCGGGGACTCAGCGCCGGGGGAGGGCGCCCGATTCGGCCGCCCCCCGCCGGGCCCCGCGCCCCCTAGCGCAGCCGTGGGGAGGCAATGCCCAGCCAGGGCTTGCAGGCCCCGCCAGCCGCCGGTGCGAGAGCGGGCGTCCGCGCCGTCGGGGCCCGGAGCATGGCGCGCGGCCCCTCGCGCCCTCGCCACCCACGAATCCCTGGTTCCAGGCTCCGAAGCCGCGATGCTTTCGGCACTTCTTGCCTGCTCGGGCGGCGGCAGCGGCTCCCGCTTCTACTGTGGGGCAGCTCCCGCTTGGGGTCTGCTTGGAGCCGGATCCCCGCAGCTCCCTCCGTCTGTCGGGGAGAAGCGGCAGCCTCCCTCCCTACCTCCCGCGCCACCGCCTGCACTGGGGTAACCATGGAGACCGGGCACACCCAGTCAGGGCCGCCTCCTTAAAGGGACAGGCCTCTTGCCGAAGGATCCCCCTCCCCTCGGGACCTCAATGGGGGCAGGGGCAGTTGCTGTCCCCCTATAGCCCTGGCCGCCCCAGGCTGCCACCCGCCTCTGGGAGAACGACGCCGTGGCGTGGTAGGGTCGGGCTGACTCAGCCTCCGCCGCAGGGGCGAGGCTTCTTCGCTATAGCTTGGGGGCTCTCCGAGAGCTGCCTGGCAGCCTCGCCTCCCCCAAGAGGGACAGGAGTAGGGCTCTAGGCAAGGGGTGTTTGTAGAAGATGCAAACCATTTTCCCCGAGGAAAAAATGTCATGGAAAGGGGGACTGGCGACCAGGCGGCAGTGAAAGCCCAGTAGCAGGCGGTAGTGGGAGGTAGGAGACCCCAGAGGGGCTCCAACTGCACAGGGAAGGTTTTAAAAGATGGGAGGGGCTTCTGAGCACAGCCTCGGGCAGTCCAGCCTTTCTAGGCCTCAGCTTGACCCCCTGGAAGAAAGATGAAGGGGATGCCACTAAGAGATGCAGCTGCAGGCAGGACCTGTGAGGAAACTAGAGGGTGGGTAGCCTAAGGGGAAGGTCTAGACGCTCTACACGTGGCCCCGGAGTGGAGAGGGCGAACGGTGAAGCCCTAGGACTCTCGCCTCGTCCCCGATTTCTCTAGTCTGGGTCAGCTTTGCCGCTCCCAGGCAGCGCTGGAGGGTCAGGGCCGCCGGAGGTCAGACTCAGAGAGAAACTTTCTAACCTTGTGCGTGCGGGAGGTAAGGACGGGGCCCCGGCTCCCCGCCCCCCGCTTCAGTACCAGACCACTCGGCCCTGCGCTGGACGGGAAGCTGCCGGGGGGCTGCAGGAGCCCCAGGTCCCTCGAAGGGTGGGGAGCAGAGGTCGTCTCCCGTCCGTCTTCCACGCCGCGGCGGTGCCCGCGGCTTCGCCTGCCTGTGCCGCTCCTCCTCCCTCCCACGATTTGCCAGCGAGTGCGGCTGCCGCCCGCGCCCAGAGGAGCCGCCGGGGCCAAAACAGCAATTTGTTCCTCAAAGAGAGAAACGCAGAGCTGAGCACCCATCCCTCGAGGAGACACACCCACAGCCACCGGGCGTGGGAAAGGAGTGTGCCCCGCTCCACCTACCCCTCCTCAGGGAGGAAAGCCAAAGCACAGGGAAACTATTTAAATGAGCTGGTCCTTTGGGAAGAAAAGCGCTACCCTCCCCCAGTCTTCTGAATGCTAGAATGGGGCTCCTAGCAAAAAAGGGATCTGCAGATCAGCCCCCTGTCCTGGGCAGGCCGGGGCTGTAAAGTAACCCCTTCCCCCGTCCCCTACTCTGCTCCTCCGCCAGTCGGTCAAGCACTCAGTCACGCAGAGGAGCGTTTTCTGAGTCAGCTCCCTAAGACCTGGTGAGGCTGAAACCGCCCACCGGCTAGGGAATCAGGCTACCATGGTTTGAATGCTGCTGCTCTGCCACTTGCTGTCTGGGTGACTTTTAAAAAAGGCAAGATATTAACCTTTCTGTGCCTCGCCTCAGTTTTCTCCTTTGTAAAATAGAAATAGTAACTATGTCAGAGGACCGTCAGGGCTAAATAAGTGAACACGTATCAAGAACCTAGAATAGTGGGCATCACATCATGAAAAGATGATCTGAGTTTGAGTCTGACAGGAGCCATGTGAACAGCGTGGGTTTCTCCATTTCACAAAGGAGAAACCAAGGGGGAGGGGGTGATGCTCACAATAAACACAGTTGGTAAATGGCAGGGCCGGGGCTCCAAACCTGACACGGTCACCCAGTGCTGAGCTGGGATTCTGCTTCCCTCCACCATGGCTCCAGGAATCCCAGGTAGGCTACTGGGGGCCGTGTGACTTGCAGAGCACTGGACACCTGGGTCGTGCCTCAGGTCCTGGTCTGAGTTAGCCCCATAAGGTATTCTGATTTTCTGGCTCCACCTCACCTGCCTAGTTTTTGGCGTTAAGGCAAGCCAGACACTGGACTGAGCTCAGTGGGTAGGTGGAATGGCTGGGGTGCCCCTGAGAATTGCAGTAGCTTCCATTTATTGAGCATCAACTGTGTCAAGCACTGTGCTAAGTTCTTTACGTGGATTATTGCATTAATCTTCATAATAATTATGGGTAGTTACTACTATAACTGCCAACTTACAAGGAAAACAGTTAAGTACTTTGTCCAAGATGCACTGCCTCCAGTAGCAGCTCCAGGCATGTCTGTCTCGGTTTTGGTGCCTCCCTCGTCTCCAATTCCAAAAAATACACTGATATTTACTAAAAGTTATCTTTTTTTTTTTTTTGGTGGCGGGGATTGAACTTGGGACCTTGTGCTTGCAAGGCAGGTGGTGGAAGCACTGAGTTAAATCCCCGGCCCTAAATGTTATCATTTTTTTCCAGAATTAAACAGCAGTTGGCTTTGGTCTTTAAATTCCTTTCCTCATTGCCCCTCAAAGAATTTGTGAATGTGTATGTGGGATGAGGGTGCAGCTGCCCAGTCTTTCCCTTTAGGTGACATGTTGAGGTCTAACTCCTGGGCACTCTCTTCACCTTTACCAGCCCCTCAGACTTTACTGCTTTGGCCTGGCATTTGTGTTTATATGGTTTTTCTCAACTATTAATTACTGACCTTCTTCCACCCACTTCCAAAATACATGTTACACATGAAGGGATAAAGACCTGCTATTAGGAGACTGTAGGATGGGAGCTAAAGAGGAATTGAAAATAGAATAGGGCCCTGGGAGGTGAGGGCCACCACCATCCTTGCTGTAATCTTCTCCTCTTCCCTTCCTTCAATTCTGAACTCTTTCTGGGCCATGACAGGAAGTCACAGGGGAGGGGAAGGCTGAGGGGGAGCCCAGTTCAGAGACAGCTCAAAGCCTTTGTCAACAAGAAACTCAAGAGGCTGCATTTTGGAGCTACTGTGGGAGGCCTGTGGGAGTATTATCTACAAAAAGGAACAAGGAGAGCGAGCAGAGAAGAACAGAGCAAGGAAAAAAAAACCCGCTCATGACACAAAAGATAGAGAAAACCTCCTCCTAGCCACAAAGCGCAGGCGGAGCCAGGCACTGTGTGCAGGGAGTGGGAACAGGTGGCTGTCGAGGAATAGATCCCTGGGGCTCCTCCCTTCTTCCCACTCTCTCCACCCTTTCTGGAGGTCCCCAGGCCTGCTCAGAGCCTGGCTCTCTGCCAACAAAGCCAGGCTCTGTTTTTAAGATTGTGTTGTGGGGAAAATCTTGGGCTTCAAGTCAAGATACTCTAGGTTCAAACTGCAGCTCCACCATTAACCGACCAGTGTCACCCTGGGTGGAATGAGAATAACGCATCTTGAAGTGCATTCTTTCATCTGTGACATGAACCTTACTTAGCAATTGTTATTACAAAGTCCCCTTGGCCTTGTGTGCTGGGACCAGGGAAATGAGCTCAGGATGAGGCCTCCCAGAAGATTCCTCATTCCCATCAAAACATTTGGGAATTCCTTAAGACTGTCAGTCTTTGGCCACCCCTTGGCTGTCTCATTCTCTAGCTAAAATGTGAGGGACTACAGTAAACTTTAAAACTTTAAACTTTAAAACTTCAAAAGGGAATCCTAGGACTGGGGATTTAGCTCAGTGGTTCCGCGGCCTGCCCTGAAAGCGCAAGGACCAGAGTTTGATCCCAGGCATCAAAACCATGTCCCCCCCCCCCAAAACAAGGGAGTCCTGGGAGGTACACAGTTTTACTTACAGCTAGAGAGACTTACATATTGCATGGCTAGGAAGTAGAGAAACCAGGATGGAAACCCAGAGTTGACTAGGTTGATAGCATTTTGCTCCAGTGCCATGCTGCAGGAGTGCTGTCCTGTCCTTAGGTAAATAGCCTCTCAAAAGGGAACAAACACCCACTTAGATGGGTGGTCAGACAGTGACCTGAAGTGAGCACCCACTGTGAACAACCACCTGGACTTCACTTGGAGGGAGACAATGCCCTTGGCCACAGCACCTCAGTGAAAGCAGGAGCTGACAAGGGACAGGCTCCGGACACCGGACCTCTTAAGAAATCTTATTTTCTCAATCTGTGTGTTCTAGTAGAACCAGAAAACAGGTTTGTTTAAAGTCAAGTTGTAGAGAAAGCTTAACTGGGTTAATTTGGAGAGCCATAAAAGGAGACCTGCCTTTTTCTGGAGAAATCAGGAGTGGGTGGTTTTTGTTCCTGGTGTTTTGACAGCATCAAAGGGGCAGGCGGGCAGAACAGTCATGCTGGTGATGGTAGGTGTTTCCTCACCCATAATCTGCTTCAGATAGGCTTTCCTCCTTGGTGTGGAGTATCAAGGGAGGTACAGTGCCCTCATCACCTGTATAGAAAGGTTCCTTGGCTTTTCCCCTAGAGAGCTATGGCTCTAGCATCACTCCTGCAGACTGGTGTTGTAGTAACTGTTGAGGTCAGCTCCATCAGCACCCAGCCTGCCCCACACAGCTCTGAAAGTGGGTGAGGCTTCCCAACAGGTATGGCAGAGACAAGAAAGAAGGGCATGGGGCCACCATGCTAAAGGGATATGCACTTCAGGAGAAAAGCTATAGATGGAAGAGGGTAACTATATTTTTGATTTCCTCTTTGAAAAATAAGGTCTGTTAAGGCTAGAGAC